TTTATTAAATGTTCTCCCACTAATAATGACAATGTTAGTAATAGTACTGTCTTAATAATAGAAATTTATTATTATATGATTAATATGGATATACATATAATGATTATCTGTTTAAGTCCAAATTATTAAGCAAATAAATTTAAATTTTATACAAATAGTTTGCTCAATTTTCAATGATTCTTCTAACAAAAATGTGGTTACGAATGTATACCTATATTTAATTTTCTAATTGTTATTTTAAAATCACTTTTAGATATTGGACATTCCGTCATTCCAGAATATTAATCATAATTATTAATTTATATATATATATATATACATACTTTTTTATGATAAAATACATGATATTATGAGATTATATTTAACAAATTTTAATTTTTGTCGATGAATTTAATTAAAAATGTGTGGCTACAAAAAAATCTGAGATAAGTTGAATGGGTACTCTCATATTAGCGGGATAGTAGGGGAGAGTGGGCATGAAAGAACCAATTTTTTTCAAAATATGGAAAAAAATATTTAATCTGGTGTTGAACAAACAAAATTACTTTCTAACTTAAGTATACACATTTGTCTATAAGATCCATTAACAGAAAAATAATTTAATCATTAACAGAGATTTAATCACCATTTTTATATAAATTGGAAATTCAGCTCTTTCAAAACAAAGTGGTTATGAAAAAGCCATCACCTGTTTTGAAAGAACCGGATATTAAATTATATAAACTTTAATACACAAATCAAATAAAAATGTCATTTTTTAACAAATATTCTTTTTAGAAAATTAAAAATGTGTAAAAAATAGAAAATACAATATTTCTAATTAGAATATGTATTGCAAAAAAAAATGAAAATTTCCCCAAAAAAGAAATTTAAAAAAATACAATTATATTGAAAAAAATATTCCTGTGTATGCAATGAAGGAATCACGCAAAGAGGCAATAAAGGAACTGGCTTTTTCAATACCGGCTCTTTCATAACACTATGTGTAAAAAATCTAATGACAGAATATCTGATAAACCACAATAAGCAAAAAAATTTGTAACTACGTTCTTAGTTACGTTAATGTATATGGTATTCGATAAAAAAAAATACTTTTCCTAAAAACTAATCGCAAATAAATGAAAAAGACTTGGAAATTTAATTCAAGAAACTTACTTTTTTTGTAATGATAATTTTGCATCTCTCATTACGGCCTCGCCGTTTTGACGATGACTGTCAAATGTTTATGAATAAACGTAGTTTTAGTACTGTTATCAAATGAAAATATTTTTAAATTTTTGGCTATATTCAATTAATTGTAATACGAAATGGCTCTTTCAAAACATGTCTTTTTCATGTCCACTCTCCCCTAATAAACCAAATTTTTGGAAAAATAAAGAATTGTTAAAATTTTATATAATAGATTTTTCAGTATAAATGTTTTTGAAATCCCGTTATTATCGGGTTCGCCTTATCTTGAACAGTTGGTACCCGAGAAACTTTTGTACCCATATATAAATATATAATGTACCCGTATAAAAAATTACAATAACGCATGTATTTTATTATTATTAAATATATTCCTTCGTAACCACTATTCCATAAGGAAATCATTCTATTCGTTTATTTTTAATAAGAAATGATTTTTAGTGATATGTGGCAGAACATATTTTTTCGCCAATTTTAATATTATATTAAAAATGTGATAAAAATTATAATTGTAATTGACATGCTACCAAAATTATTACTATCATATAAGTAGTCTGAAAGATTCGGGATTCACACCCTCCTGTAATAAGATCACTACTCAGATAGCACAGGATATTTTATGGACATACATTTTAAGTTCAGTTTGTGTCCATACGTTCATGGACATAAATGGGACTTAAATTGGATGTAAAACTTTTAACAGTTGCAAAATAAACGAATATATACTCACACATATACATATTTACATTATTAAATTTTATGTAAATATATGTATAGGTGTACAAATAAGTTTTAAAGCGTTTTTAATGAAATTTAATATTTATTTATTTAGAAACGAAAACACTCAATTATCAAAATAATCTCCATCATTATCTATGACCTTTAGCCATCTTTCGGGCAGAGCTTGCGAATTCCAAAAGGTTTCGTCTTTCGATGCGATAAAATTATCTACCCATTCTTCAAATGCTCGAAAGTGTACACCGAACAAGACATTTTGCATTGACCGGAATAAATGATAATCAGAAGGGATTATGTCTAGGCCAAGAAGACTAGAACCAGGAGAGTCAACTCGGCGTAAAAGCGGTAGTGGGGGTGAGGCAAGAAGTGGAAACGAACGACACCCCCCACTCTTGCGCTTCATCCTCTGTTGCTCTACATAGTCGGTTTCAATTCGTGACTGCGCATGTCAACGTACCTTGTTTCTGTTTGATTGAATTTTGAACTAAACATAAACCGTAAAAATTTAATCCGATGTGATTTACGATGCCCAAGCGAGTGTGCTGTGTTCGAAATTGTGACTTCAATCCTGGAGATAAAGAAAATCGAAAAACAATATTCCAATTTTGTGAGGTACTCAGTGAACTACTGAGCATCGTCCTCAACAGGGGTTGGGGGTAAGCAGCGGGTGACGCTTTTTGACTCACCCCCACCACGCGAGTTGACTCTCCTGGTTCTAGT